GTTTTATTGGGCAAATGGTTGTGGAGATTTCCTTTTGAAAGTGAGTTGTTATGGTGTTCAGTTATTAAAAGCAAGTATGAAATTCAATCTAATGGTAGAGATTCTAATGTGGTTAATAGAGGCAATTGTCGTTCTCCGTGAAATCCATTTCTCGTTTGTATCCTCTTGTGTCTAATTATTTTTCATTCAAAGTGGGGAACGGGGAGAATGTTTGGTTAGGGGATACTTCGTTTGCTAGATCTTTTCCCCTTCTTTACAGGTTGGTTCGTTCTCCAAATGTGTCTATAGCGTCGGTGGCTTGCTCGTCTATGGCACCCATATCTTGGAATTTTGATCTCATTAGAAACTTGAATGATAGGGAGGCGGGGGAATTGGCTTCTTTGTGGGTTGTGCTTGAGGGGGTTTCTCTTTCTTCGACTCCCGATAGTAGGGTGTGGAACCTTGTCTCTTCTGGGGTCTTTTCATGCAAATCCTTTTTTGATAAGATTATTGATAATCCCTCGGTTCCCTTGTTCCCTTTTCATAAGAAACTTTGGAAAGCGAGTGTCCCTCATAAAGTGAAGTTTTTCATGTGGTCTTTGGCTCAAAAGGGCGTTACAACTAATGATGTTCTTCAGAGGAGAAGGCCTAATCACTTTCTTTGCCCCTAATGGTGTGTGATGTGCAAGAGTAATCTGGAGGTAGCGGATCATCTTTTTCTTCATTGCCCGGTGGCTGCAGCATTATGGCAACGCCTTTTCAGGTTATGTGATGTGCAGTGGGTTGCTCTAAGGGAGTGTATGCATATGCTTCTGTTAGAATTTACCTACACCTACCACCACCTACTACCACACCTACTACACCTACCACCAATTTACCCTCACCTACTCCTCATCTACTACCCAAACTCTCTCCTATATAATGAGCCACTCTGATTTGTAATTAAAACATATCAATAAATCAATCAATATATCAATCATAATATATACACAATTTATGCTCTCTCTCTATCAGTTTATGTGGGCACGCCTTTTGATGGCACGCCTTTTGAAAAATTGGTGTTAGAATTTACCATCACCTACCACCAATTTACCATCACCTACCACCACCTACTCCTCACCTACTCCTCACCTACTACACTCAACCTCTCCTATATAATGAGCCACTCACCATTTGTAATAGATATCAATCAATATATCAATCATAATATATACACAATTTATGCTCTCTCTCTATCAGTTTATTTATTTTTTTACATGGTATCAGAGCAGGTGTAGAACCTAATATTTTTCACTTCCCCGGCGGGCAGCAACCTCGCCTTAGCCGCCCGCCGGACCTCAACCTATTCAGCTTATTTTTCTACACATACCTTCCCATCACTGCCTAAATCCTTCTCTTCCTTTTCTGAGGGACGACCTGCCTTGTAGAGAGGAGTTCCACATCCAGCACAGAGCATTATCATACTCTGCATCAGCCTCAGCCTCCTCAGTACCAGCTGCTTCAGTTATCTTATGGACATGCACACACTCATGCTGCATAGGCCTCTTAAATCCGCAGTTCTCATGGCTTACCAGACGTTCTGAGGGACGACCTGCCTTCTTCAACACTTGAATTGTGGCCGTCAGTTGCAGTTTCTGCTTTTCCTGTACTTGAATAGATCTGACAAGGTGAGCTAGATCATCTCGGAAGCAATCAGGGCTCAGAAATAGTGACTCCATTTCAAGGACCTGTTTTGAACACTCATTGAATTCTACTGTGATCTCGCTGCAGAGTTGTTGGTAAACTGATTCCCCTCCTGAAACCATATAGTCTGCAAAACCCTTTTTAAGCTTTGCATAAGCGTGGGCTCTTCGCTCCTGAATTTCGAGGAACCTGCGAAGAAGACAGATGATTCTAAAGCCCCTGAGTTTGTCCCCTTGGTCTTGGACACTCTCTCTCTCTCTCTCCTATCATACACAGATCCATACATTATTTTTATTATCACTTCCTCTCACTTCTTCATAAAATAATACCCCCACTTACCTTTTTATTTTTTTATTTTATCTTCAATTTTTTTCTTATCTGCAGCTGCTCCACAGGGCCACATCTCACTTTACTTTATTTATTTATTTTTATCTTCAACTTTTTCTTTATCTGCAGCTGCCCACAGGGCACATCTTTCTTTATTATTATTATTATTATTATTATTTATTATTATTTATTCTTACACACACAAAAAAAAAAAAAAAAAAAAAATCAATTCCAACGCGCATTACAGGTTTTCACCAACCATGGGGCCCACGCCACCACTGCTGAATCATACAATAAATAAAATCAACATCAAATAAAAACAAGGCTTAGCAGGCTAACTTTTCTCAGGAGCATGATTACATTTGTTTTATTTTATTATTATATTACTTTTGTTCTCCTAGCTTGTAATTTTCTTATTATTGTGGAAAAACAAGATGATTTTTGTATTATTTGTCATTTATTCATATCAGTGGGATCAACCCCGATCACACTTTTTCACATAAAAAAAAAAAAAACATCAAAAACAACAACAACAACAACACAAATCGAACAACAGTCGGCGAATTTTTCTTCTCTAGCTCATGCCGCCGCCGTCTCTGAAAATGACGTCATCTTGACGCTCCGTCCTTGAAAAGGACGGTGCCTCTGGAGGTGATGTGCCTCCGTGTCTTCCTAGGGCACCACCGAAAGCATGTATTGCTCGGTCCTGCTCCTCCACATCGAGTCCATTATGGCCGGACCCCAAATCGGAACATCACGGTGGCCTTCCGCTTTAGCTCCTTGTTTTCTGGCTTTAGACACAATTTATCCTGCTCGCGCATCTTATACATGGCGTCCTGGCAAAGCAGAGCCAGCTGAGGGTTAATCTGCTGCACCTCATGTATAACTGATGCGGCTTACGCAATTCATGCCGCTGAGCGCCATAGTGTCCGAACTCGCATGACCTTCCTCACCATGCCTTCAAAGTATATTCTAGGTTTGGCCTCTCGACATCATGACATGACACCTCCATTTTTGCTCCACCGACCCATCGGAATAGTCAAACGGGCAAATCTCCGGGGGCACTTGCGTTGAGTTTCCACGTTGCCAACGATTACCAGTTCTCTCTCTCGTTGACTCGGTTGTAGGAATCGGGAAAAGAGGGTGGCATCCGCCGGCGGGAGACGAGAACCATCTGCCAGTGTTCGACTCTCGAATCTCGAAAACTGTACAGACCCCTGATCTTTCTCGCAAACGAGAGCAAGTCCTGTGTTTACAGCACTCTCTCTCTCGAAACTTATCAGATTTCTTCTCAGAGGTGTTTCCATTTTTCTCATGCCTCCGCACCAGCTCCGTTAAGTCATAGCCGAGAGCTAGCACGCGCATCGCGCGCCTCTTTGCCACAGCCGACAAACGCTTAGGCAAGCCAGCGCCCTCCTGCTCATGTCCGCACATCCTTTATGAGGATTGGGCACCTTTTTGATGCACGCCTTTATGTTACAAAACTTGGGCAGCACCTTTTTGAGGTGTTGCAACATTTTCGGTGCGATGCACTAAAGTTGGAATTGTTCGTGCATCCTGGGTACAAGAACTCTTAAACTGGTCCCGAATCATCTGATTATCCGGTTAGGCTCCTTTATGGGCTCCGACAAGACTCTGTAAACTGTCCCGACATCGATTCCCAGGTTAGTCTCCTTAGGGTCCGCAAAGACTCTTGAAACGGTTAACTGATCACCGACATTGTGTTCGGGTTAGTTTCTACAACGGGTCACAGCAAGGACCCGGTAAACTGTCATTACATGTGCACAACGGTCGCGACATGACCCAGTAATATCTGTCTTCCTATACACCCTCCAGTGTCTCTCCGTAATGACCCAGCCATCCAAGTGTCTCTACAACGTTCAATGGCCTTTCGGTGCTCACCACGGACACACACTACAGTGTCTCCTATTATTTTTTTCATTTTTTATGTATTTCTTGTTTTATCACTCTCTTCCAAACTCAAAGTTGGTTAGTTTCCTATCCTCCCTTGGTTTGCGGGGGGCTGTTTAGGAATTTACCTACACCTACCACCCACCTACTACCACACCTACTACACCTACCACCAATTACCTTCAACCTACTCCTCACCTAACTTACCCAAACTCTTCCTATATATGGAGCACTCTGTATTGTAATAAACACAATCATCACATCACAATATATCACATTCATAATTAATAAATCAACCATTATGCTTCTCTCTCTATACAGTTTATTTTTTTACATGCTTCTTATTCGGTTTGACGGGTTGGGAGTACTAAGAAAGCCAAATCAATGTGATTAAGGCATTGTTTTTGCCTATTTTTTTGGGTTATATGGTTGAAGAGAAATGTTCGAATTTTTGAGGCACAAAGTAGCAAGTGTAGAGGCTTTGTGAGATAGGGTGAATATTTGGCCTTCCTTTTTGGGCTTTTGTACTCCCCCTTTTAAAGGAGTCCCTTTTGTTTTTGATTTCTAGGGATTGGGCTGCTTGTTGCCATTCTAGAGATTTGGAGTTTTGTGATTGGTTTTGCTTTTTCTTCTCTTTTTTCTCTCCTTGTAAGAGGACTTCTTGTCCTCCTGCTCTTTTCCGTTTTAATAAAATTTTGTTGTTTCTCAAAAAAAAAAAAAAAGAAAAGAGAGATAAATTAAAATGTAAATATAAAAATTACATCCATATACAAGGCCCACATCTTTTATTTTGTAACTTTTCGACTTAGTATAATGAATTAAAGCTTTATTAAAAAAATGGTGGTTGAATAGGTAGATGAATTAAAAAAAAGGTGTTAATCCTTGGTGCTCGAATCCCATCTTGCCTCGCATTTCTGTCATCGGTTCGTCCGCAAAAAAGGCTTGACCAACCGTGGTGTCACTTGTCACCACTGCGGCTGTCAACTTTTCGCCCGGACGACCAGTTGAACAGAAATTTCGAGCATCGAGCCAAGGTTCAAGATTTGAGGTATGTAGCTTGCCTCTAAAAAAAAATAGCACATGAAATACTACACTGTTGGAGCAACCTGTACTATTTGGGCACAGTGAATACTACATACTACTGGAGCACTTAAGTAAATTTTTATGATGTGCACTTTTGTGTGGCTCAAACTAGCCCAATTCCACAGATATGCTCGGCCATAGCACACGAGTATGGCATATGGCATTATCAGCATGGGGAAAATGATGAAACATGCACTTGTGGCATGCAAAGTAGAAACAAGATCATGAAGTTATTTCCAACACACTTTAATTACATAATGGTCTCAGTGAAGCATGTGAACAATTCTACTTCAATTCTACTTTTCTCCATGTCCAAAGACAACTCTCCTGAGAGTAATTCATAGGCAATAGTCAAGACACTAACATAGCAATGTTTAAGTCACCTAGCACACAAGTATGGTATATGGCAATTATCACATAGGGAAATGATGAATATGCACACGTGGCATGTAAAGTAATACCTAAGGTATTGCATAGCATTTCGCTGTTTCATGTAAGGATGATTATTTAGTGTGTCATCCATGTTATGACATTTGACGTTTACTCCGAATTTATTCTTGGTTGTATTAGTGTATATCCACATTCTTTAAGCAATTATCACAAGTCCTTTGTATGGTATTGTTTTGCTTTGTTATGCTTCTGACATACTTTTATTTTCCTTTTTCTCATGTTTTGGATTTGAATAACCTAGTTATTGCATACATACTGTTGATGGAGTCTTTTCTTAGTTTATTAGTGACTAATTGATATTCATTTGTTAATTAGGGGCGACATGGGATCCGATGGAGGATGATACTTGTTGCTTTCTCTGATCTTAAACATTAGGTCTGTTCATTTTGCATCAAGCCCTCCGTCACTAGTATGTGGCGTCTTCCCTCTTTTCGCTTAGTAGTCTTATTCTATTGAATGTTTT